TTCTTTACATGTAGCATGCACAACGTAATCTCGATTATATTCAATGTGCAGTTATACGAATCCAGAATATTGATTCAGTTTGCCAGCAAAAGGAGGAAGCTTGAAATCTAGATTACAAACTTGGCGACAATCAAACATATATCGACAATGTCCAAGACGACATGAATACGATCGGAAGGTTAGTGATTGAATTAAAAATGAATGAAGATATGTGATTGTGTGATACAATTGATCGATCTCTTCAATTGTTGGGATGTTTTCAATCGAACTTGTTTCGATCGGATCGACGGAGGTTGCATCGTGCCGTTTAAAAGGAACTAACCTAACGCGTCTGCGATAGGTGAGATGTCACTGACGATAGTCACTGCGACTCGTCACGGCGACGTAGCAACGGTCCAATCGACGATGATCTGGGATCGGTCGCTGATGAGTTTACGGCCTATCTCGATTCCGTTAATTCGTCAAATGACGAGTACTCACGCACGAGAATGAGAGCTTCGCTCTCTGTTCATCGTGCTCTATTTCGAGTGTGTGAACACGCCGTGGCTGTTTTCTCCCTTAGGTCAAACGCCGCTCCGTCTCCCATTCCTATTTCCATCCCTCCTCCCTCCCTGTGTGCGTTATTTTTGCCCATGGAGGAAAGATATTGTCTTCCCGGAACATCGTTGGACGTCTAACAATTTTTATTAGCCCATCTTCTTTCCCCTCTCTTCTTCTTCTTCTTCTTCTTCTTCTTCTTCTTCTTCTTCTTCTTCTTCTTCTTCTTCCTCCTTTCTAATTTCTCCTCGATCCTTTTCGCTTTGGCAAAAGATTGCTGGATTGCAAACTCTAACATAGAACCGAAGCTGAAGCATGTATAATTGAGAAATGAGAGGAGAAAAGTTAATTATACCCAATAAATACAAGAGCAAATACTTGGCCAACGAGTCTCGGACTTAATTTCAAGTTCAAACAAACTCTTATAAATGTCGATATTTAGTTTGATAGTTATCGAGATGTGCTCGCTGCTTCCTTCGTCGTTTTCGCAGTCGCTGTCGCAGTCTCAAGTCACATCAACGTTTAACCGACGACGACGAATGTAAACGTAACGATGAGTCGCAGTGTTGGGCCGAAGCTGCTGACTACTCGTCAAGTTGGAAAATTCTCGGTATGGTTGGTAATATCGCGCTCCAGTTCTACGATTCGACAGATCTCGATGTTGTTTCCTCGTCACGTCACGTTTCACCAGAGATGATCTTAAAATAGCGATCTTGAGATGTGTCACGCTTCCGGTGATAGCGTCATCACAGCGTTCCTGATAATCCTGGTCATCCTTGGTTAGCCCTTGATCGGTCGAGCGAAATTTTCGATCAAGCGCTTTCCGTCAGGATGAACTCGCGCGACAATGAAGAAAATACTTTTTCGTACTTGAAATTATACACTATTATTTATATTCGAAGTTGTTGAGAAAGACAATGGTAGATAGATAATTGATGGTTGAACACGTAGTACAAGTTGAGTATACCGCATGTACCGGCATGTAAAGGCACATATACATATAGTTGCAAAATATAAAACATCCGTTATTCATACTATCGAAAAGTTTGCAGTAAACTTTCCCACAATCTTTCATGATTGTTTGAAAAATGTCAAGTCGCAGAGTTGCGTCACTTTTGACGCAAGCGTGCGATTCGTTGGTATTCTACACGGTGAGCTTTTAGAGAGAAAAGCAACGAAAGGAGGTGGCAAAAGAGAAGAAGGAGAAGAAAGAGAGGATAAAGAAGGGAGAGATGAAAAGGAGGAGAAGGCGCGAGCGTGTACCTACGAATAGAGAAACGTGCGCGACGCGCGTATTCAGTTACGTCCGGTGCGTCGTGGCGTTGAGACGCCACGTTCCGTTTCCAGTGCCTTGCGATACGTCGCGATGCGACGCGTCGTGTCGCGGGATCGTCTTGGGGAGAAAGAGAGGAAGGGAGAGAGAGAGAGAGAGAGAGAGAGAGAGAGAGAGAGAATTGAATAATTGAACGATTGACACGATCAGCTCTTTCGTCTCCTGCTCCTTCTCCCCTTCATTACCCCGTCTCTTCCCTCCGCTTTCGACGCTCGAAAGAAGATTGTGAGAACGAAGGGTCGTGCAGAGATACAGATGCAGATTGTATCAACGATACATTGATAATGGACCACGGGTGTGAGTCCTCATTTTTTAAATTTTCTCTTTTTATCAGTGCCTTCCCAAGGAGAGAGGATTGATGAGAAGAGAAGGGACAAGAGGGAGAGAGAGAGAGAGAGAGAGAGAGAGAGAGAGAGAGAGAGAGAGAGAGAGAGAGAGAGAGGGAGAGGGTAGTAGGGAGGGAGGGAGGGAGAGAGAAAAGAGGGAAGAGAGTATATTGATATAAATAAGAGATAATCTTGATCAGACAATTTTGCTCGTGAGATAAGGTAAAGTGTCAACGAGTTTGATCGGGCACCGTTTATCAACTATTTTCTAGATCGCAGTGCCTTCTTCATTTGATATATTATATCCCCTCCCCCTTCCGCCCTCTTCCCCCGATATATATTATAACACGAACGACAAAACATATTTTTCGTTCAAACGTCAGAAACTGCAGTGATTACGCGTCGACGACGATTTTCTTCGAAATGGCTAAGAATTTAAAGTGAAGTCAATGATGATGTTGATTAAGCGCGGATAGTGCGAGCGCAATACGAACGATCTAATGCGTCACATTCAGGTCGAGTGCAAAGTGCATAGTGCAATCGCAGCTGGTCGTGAAGGATAATCGACGAGGAAGGAAAGTTGGCGCACTCGACGGTGTCATGGCTTGTATCAGAGCGCCAAGATCGGTACGCGGATCTGTCGACGATATTAAGGCCGATTCCACTCGTAATATCGTGCAGGTAATTTCTCTCATACGTAGCTATAGACGTGTCGAATATCGGCTTTGCAGCTACATATACACTATGTATAATCTCTCTCTCTCTCTCTCTCTCTCTCTCTCTCTCTCTCTCTCTCTCTCTTTCTCTCCCCTCCATCTCCTCCTCCTCCTCTCTTCCTCTCTTCCTCGATTGTCAATTTCTAACAACATCTACACTTTGCGATATCCCCATCTCGAAGGGTCTTTTTAACAAACGTTCTTGGTCGAATGATATCCCGAGAAAGCGGCGGGATCTCGCGGGAAAAGCAGGAAAAGGTTCGGCGAAGCGACCCCGCGTGGTCGCCGTAATAATGGCGACCCGAAATCACGAAGGAAGCTCCCACGTCCCTTTGCTTCGCTTCTCTCTTTGCGCGCTCAAAAATAGTACGCGATGACTAACTCTCTCTTCTCCTCTCCTCTCCTCTGTCCCTCTCGTTTCAGCTCCCCTTGTCCCTTCTGGTCTTCTGGACCACGCTTGTCTCCCCTTGTGCTTTCCATCGCCCTTGCGAGCGCGCCTCTTTGGGGACTTTGGAGAGTCGCGCTCGCTCGCTCGCTCGCTCACGCTGAAAAGCCTGGCGTTCAGCCAGCGCGGTAAGCGCGCCAGGACAATTCATGCTTCCGCGCCTGATTTATGTCAGTCGATGCTCTCTTATAGACACACGTGAATAAAGAAAAATATCTAGTCAAAATGTCTGATCAATCGGAATAAATGCACAATTAAGATGTGTGTGTGTGTGTGTGTGAATTGTGTGAAGTAAAATAGCAGTCTATATTATTGCTAGTTACACTTTACTTTAGTGATCAACGTTTGATATACGCTGAAACTTTAATTGTCAAGAAATCTCCCTCTCTTTCTCTCTTTCTTCTCTCGCCCTCTCTAAAGAGTATCACATTATCTCTCTAAAGAGTATCACATTATAAATATAAACAATGCAAAGGATATGGATAGAGAGAGAGAGAGAGAGAGAGAGAGAGAGAGAGAGAGAGAGAGAGAGAGAGAGGGAGGGAGAGAGGGAGGGAGAGAGAGAGAGAGAGAGAGAGAGAGAGAGAGAGAGAGAGAGAGAGAGAGAGAGAGAGAGAGAGAGAGAGGAGGAGAGAGAGGTTCCATTGCCGGAACAATCGTTAAAATTAACATACAATTTGCAACGATGAAAATGCGCAGAATAATTAACGGCGGAGCGAGCTCAATTTGAAATGCACTCGATAAAGTATAAATATCTGAAATAATTCCAATTTGATCAGTTTCACGCTGATAAATTTGTTCGAGCACCCCTCTCCTCTCTTGGCCACGTTTGAAATATTCAACAAATAAATGTGAAATATTCGCGGCGACAAGACCTTGACAGTCATGCACCTGTGCATGCAATAAAATATCGGCTGAAAAAGTGAACGAGAGAGGGGAGATGAATGTGCGCGCACAGGGAGTCGAACACCTCGATTATCCTAGTGACGTTAATAAACGTAAGTGTACCTGCCGTTGTTGCACTTCACCGTTGCAAATACAGCAGCTATATAGAGATAACGCGATGACGTATGGGTCGTCCGATAGAAATGCAAATGGATGCATCGCGTCGGGTTGTTTCCGCGAAAAGGGCGAAAACGGAACAATAGCGGAAGACCCGAAGAAAATGAAGGAAAAAGCAGAAAAAAACGCTAAGGGATCTCGCGGTCAGTTACTGTTACTGTTTCAATTTCATCATCGGCATCGGTGTCGCGAGCGTCAGCATATCCTTCGGTGCAGTGACACACAACGATCGAGGTCGGCATCGACGGCATCAGCGACGCGCCAATTGAAATTCTAATTGAAACTACGACTATAAAAGAATTTTGCCGTAATCGTGGACCGGCCGAGATTTGCGTCGTAATTGATAATGCAACAATTGAGATTTGTAATGCTGTAATTGTAATAAAGGTGCAATAAAGGAGGCATATTATATCGCTGAAGACGTAAAACTCTCGCGTGTAGCTTCGATGATACATGAGAAATGATAATTGGCAAACAATTTAGCCATTGCTATTAGCGTACGACTAATCAACTTAGCTGCAACTGCGACATGACAAATATACTCAATAATACAGAACAGACATGCTTACTTGTGATTTCAGATTTACACGGATTGGGCAAATTATTACTTGGAGCGAGGAGGTAGCAAGAGAAGAGTGATCGATTTGCAGGCTGATCTCTGCGACGGAGTGCTCTTGGCAGATTTAGTGGAGGCTGTCAGTAAGTATTCTCTTGTTCTTCTCTTTTGTTTTTGACAAGATGAATATTATTTGTATGAAAAGAGAAATTTTTTGCGCGCGCACGTTCGTAGAAATAATAGTAAAGTGCGCTTTCAAATTCTATTAATAAAAAACTAGAAGACGCCGCGTAAGAAGACCGATCACAAACGCGTCGACAAACACCATGATAGATAAAGCTGCAAAACACTGTTCGGTCGGCTAACAGTAACCGCCGAATCGTTTATGGCATTGAACAGTTATTCATAACACATAAATCGGCACAGTAAAGTCATTAGCGCACAGAGTACGACAATCACGTGCCGCACGCGAGCGCGTCATGTGCGATTCGTCGCGATTCGACGGCGACGTGCATTCATCACGACTGTACGACTATACATAAGAGGAATTTTAATACTAAATCGATCCTTTCCTCGTTCTCTCTCTCTCTCTCTCTCTCTCTCTCTCTCTCTTCTTTTTCTTTTATTACAGCCAATCAAAAGGTGATCGACGTGAACCGAAAGCCGAAAAGTGCCCAGCAAATGGTGAGTGTATCATCCAATCAAATATCTTGCTTGTTTGTCAAATGTTTTGTTGATGGTGTGAAAATTGAAAAAGTCGACTCCAACTTTTGTCAAGATTTTACCTTGTCGAATTAAAGCGAAAGCATCGCGATTATACAATTATACAAATAAGAGATAAGCGATGACCATACGATGACAAATCAAATTTGTCGTTCTGATCTATAAAGCTGCAACTGTACGAGATATTAGAAGCGATTTGGTTGATGGTACTATCCTTTACGTTACGATTGCGTGGTGTTGTTGGATAATATATTTTGGGCAAAATTTTAAAATATCCTTCCTTTCGTAACGTTGTGAGAACTCGATTCACGCATCGAGTCGTACAATGTTTGTATCCCCGTAGGAGTAGCATCGGGCTCGTTGACTCAGGATTATGCAAATTGAAACGGGAGGAGGCGTCATCCCGCTTGAGAGAGAGAGAGAGAGAGAGAGAGAGAGAGAGAGAGAAAAGTGTAACTCGACTGCGTCTCGATCTATCCGGATGTGACGTGGCTCGTTTCCTCAGAGATGCACTCAGAATCCGAAGTAAAAGACACGATAATTATTCTCTCACTCTTTCCACTCATTTCTCTTTCGCTCATCTCTTTCCCGTCTACCTACCCCGCCTATCCTACATATCCATTCTTCTTTTTCCTGAATTATTTAACGGCAAACAGATGAAGGAATTAGACAGATACGTGTTACGTGTTATTGAGGCTCGATTTACGTTGCAAAACGTTTTAAAATTGGACACGTAACATCGCGCGTTCGATTCGCGCGTCGAAACTCGTCTCGTCTTGCGGTCTCCTTGTCGAGGAAAGTTGATCACTGGTTAACTAGGCCGACAAACTTTGTTTGCGCGGCTCTCAAGAACCACACAGTACTTACCTTACAATCCGTGCAATCCGAATTACTCGAGAGCTTGCTAGACATCGTAGAGATGGCCAGATGGCCACGAGCTGGTGAGAGCGACACAAAGCTCTTCGGCGAAGCAAGTCTTACGTAGCAAGTTTCCTTCTTACCCTCGATCGCGAGCGGCAGAAACGCGAGCTGTTGACTCGACTCGTAGACTCGCGTCGCCTTTCCAATTTCGCGTTGTCGAGGGTGGACGTAGGCAAGGAGAGTAGGGCTCCGGTCTATAATTAAAGCGACGAGCACACGCGCACACCACACGTGTACACAGGCTGTACAGGCTGATTCATGATGATAAGTGAAGATGATCGCGTTCGCGACCGATGCCGATGGCATCGCAAACACGATCCACGATCGGCTTCTCCGCCATTTTTCAATGAGTTTGAGAGAAACATTTGCAGCAACGTACACCTCGAGTGTGGGACAAGTGGGATCCATCGATGAATAAGTGATTCGATTTGTGCATTACGGGTATAGCAAAATATTCATCAGACGCGGCTGTACGTTCGATTCATCGACAATCCAACTGAAACTGAACTTTCCTTCCGTTCCATTCTCTTTGAAGATTGCTGCTTTTTCGTAGCTACAGAAATGACGATTCTCTCTCTCTCTCTCTCTCTCTCTCTCTCTCTCTGTCTCTCTCGTGAAGCAACTTGTAGCCAGCTGAAATCATCACGTGTTTTCCCCTCGGCCGTGCTCTCGGTGCTCTCAGCACGGCACGCGACTTTACAACGTCGTCGCGGTCGGCCAACAGCTCGGTACACAGAGAGTACGTGTACTCTCTCGCGGCACATACAATAGAGCGGAGCGAAACGTGCTACGTTCTTCGTCGTAGCTACGCGAACCGGAAACGCTTGCCAATGCTTGCATAAGCCGGCGTACGGCAACATTACGTACGCCAAAGTGCAAAGCGGATATGTGAACCGTTCTCTACTTTTCCAGCGACCGGTCCCGCGTACCCACACCCTTTCGGTAACCTCGGCTTTTGTTCGCCGAGACAAAGATCTCATATCTTATCTTTCTTTCGCTTGTTTTCACAAGCTTATGTTTAATTGAGCGTTGTCTTTCAATTTTTCTCAATTCGTTACTTTTCATTCGACTGGCGTAATCACGCTCATCATTCAATCATTCATTCGCTCGTGATTACGGACGTTCGAATCGAAGAATTTTACTTGTAAAGAAGCCTCTCTACTCAATTGCCGTGCAATTTATGTCTCGCAGCTTTTGTCGGTGCATATAAATTGGTTTCACTGGTTTCAAATTGAGCCGGCTCACACCGCGGTCCGCGTTATCCTTGAATCATCGACGTTTCTTTTTTTTTCTTTTATAATTAAAGGAGAACTACGACGTTAAACTCTGTCGAGCTAAACCGGAACTGCTGTGGTGTCTCTGGCCGCGTCCGAGTCGGTCCATTGCGATCTATTTCTATTTCGCGGAGAGTCCACTCTTGACACACACACACACACACACACACGCGCACACAGAGAGAGAGAGAGAGAGAGAGAGAGAGAGAGAGAGAGAGAGAGAGAGAATGAGTCATTTCATATATATTAGTCAAGCATCGCGCGCCAGTCCCCTAACGAGACTATGGCGATAACTTATAAATAAAGCACTCGTACGTTACATCTCGTAGAGATGAATATAGGATATCCCAGATTTTACTGGTCATATAATTTCGAGTAAAGTTTGCTGCGTCGATAAATTATTCAAACGATTTGCATAACATTAACGTTGAATTACTTTTTATGACACTCGAGTAAACGCGATTTGAGGAGTTTGAGTGAGTGCTTCGAAAATCGATCACGCAATTGTTTACATGCGATTAGGGGAGTGGTAGACGCGAGGAAACGCGGATACGATGACAGTCGACGAAAATGTACTACATCGCAGGTGTCCTAGATATGAGATACATATGTATACATACGTATAATACATGGCGAGTGGCAGGAGAGACCGTTGAGAAAATAGGGGAACGTGGTAGGTGCGGTTTCCCCGGTAAAACCGCTTTATGAAAAAGAAGAGAGAGAGAGAGAGAGAGAGAGAGAAAAGTGTTTTAAGCCATAGTCCCTCATTCAAATAAAAAGTCCGCCATGCACACGCGAAATGTCCCGCACAGCCAAAAGCCGGCTATTCTATTATTTCGTCGATATTGCGCATGTAGATGCAGTATCCAGTGGAAATCGAAGGAATTTATCGTGCGTTCTAGATTCTCGCTCTTGCGACACGGTATCAATCCGATCACTCTACGATACCTCGGGCGGCATGTCGATTAGTCATCGAGTATATCCCGATATCTCCGTTTTCTCACGCAAGAATCCTCACGCGAAAAAGTACGATCGGTCACGCCGTTCGTTACTCGTTCCTCGTTTAATATTCGCGATTAATCGCTGCTCACTTGATCATTCCCTTGTACATTCAACGCGGAATTGACGATCAAAGAAGAGAGAAAAAGGAAGGAAGAAAGGAAGGAAAGAAGGAAGGAAGGAAGAAAGGAAATGGAAGAGAAGAAGGTGAAGAAATAATGCAACCTGCCATTTCAGTGATCCGGTGCGCTTTGTTGTTTTTAATCAGTGTGTTTGCTCCTTGTAACTATATTCATCATATTCTTTATCACAGACAGATGACATCGTGGACGACTCGGGATGCAATTTTCTCTTGGGTTATTCACGGGACATGCCCGATGACACCCGTCCCAATCCTATCCCACCTCGCTGCTACCTGACCCGTGAAAAAATTCAACTAGTTTTATTTGGCATTGATATATTTATGTCATGGTTATATTCATAGCAGAAAATTAAGAGGGAGGTAACAAGGATGTCGAAATATCATTCATCGAGCTTTAAAGGATCTGGCTTTAAATGGCATTAACGGAATCTCTGGCTCGTACGACTGGATAAATTGTTTCATCATGGGGTGGTGTACTGAATGTATTTGTAAAAGATTCAACGCTCACAGTCGCTCACGGTCGGAATGAGCTGGTCGTGGAGAAAAAGGCCTCGCCTCCCGGATCTCTCCCACCGATGTATAGTAAACTCCGGAATATACAATGCCGAGTAAATTGGATGGAAATACACGCAGAGTTGATCGCGCGCGCGGAAGTGCTCCTCCTCTCTCACGTAAGCGCGCGCGCGCGTAATTTAGACCCCGAAATTCCTCCCTCTCGCTGAATCCTTTAGAGCGAGAGAGCCGCTCCGTTCCGATGATCCGAGTCCAAACGGGGGGGAATGGAATGGAATAACGATAAGGAGGAGAACAACACGCAGATAACGCAGCAATGTCAAACAGATAGCGATAGATTGAAACTGACCCCCACTCGCGATTCGCGAGCCACGTGGATACCTGAGTTCCAGGTTGCCACACTTGAAACGGCACGCTCCCACTACCTGCCTGCCTGCCTGCCTGCCTGCCTGCCTGCCGATTGCTCCTTCCTTCTTCGTCCTCCTTCGCGTTCTCTCTCGGTTCGGCCAATTGCGCGGTATGGGGCTTACCTCGATCTCTCGTGTCCGTGTGTCATCTGTCTGTATCACGTCGGTTAGTGTCTCACGAGTGCCCCAGCGGTACGGATACTGCGCCAATCCTCGTGCGCGCGTTTCGCGACATCTTCTCGAGTGTTGTTGTCTCACGTTGTATTACTAGCCAATTAGCCAATTAGGCGATTCACCGTTACCGTCGCAACACACAGCTTGCTTTTGCGTCTGGAGCGTCGAGGAACGGATAAGCTTTAATTGCCGTTTAATGAGGTAATGACACTTGACTTGTCTTTATCAACACATTGTGACTGCCCAGTTAGTTTGGTTTTGTCTCTTATCTCTTATCGTACGCGGTAAGCGGAATAACGAAACGTTCCTGAACTGTTGTGCCTCACAAGCATACATCTCTACGTAAGCGTGATATAATTGTCGTAATATAATATAATATTAACAAGCAAAGTGTTTGTCTCGCTCTCAAGTTTTTCATTTATGATGCCTCGTGTCTTAAAAAGCAATGGATTAGGGACACACTGGGGGATACACCGGTGGCCGGTCATCGGCCATCCCACACGCAGCCGGTCAAGGTACTCCAGACGTTAATGACTCTATAAATCCTGATTGTTGCACACATTTTTGCAGTCGCGTGCAGTATCACGCGGTATATTTACGATAGAATTACATCCATCGTTGAATTCATGTCGCAGCAGTAGCCAGACAGTGTAGTAGCGTTTACGCGTTAGTTAACGTCAGTGAGGTTATTAACGTATCTCTTCATCGATCGACTGATTCCTTGATCGACCAAGTGTTTTGTTTGTGGCAAAAGTTTCGCGAGGAAAAAAATATAAGAAGAAAAAGAAGTATAAATCCGCAAACTCTTGTGTGGGGGACACAAGTAGTAGACCGTGTCGGGACATCGACACGTTCCCCAAGTAGTGTCCGTGTGCGCGTATGTTCTCTGTTTCTTCTCAGTTAAGGTTTCGTAAGGTACTCGAGCAGCATGCGCCAGCTCCGACGGAAGCTCCGTTTACTCACCGAGACTGCTCTCTCTCTCTCTCTCTCTCTCTCTCTCTCTCTCTCTCTCTCTCTCTCTCTCTCTCTCTCTCTCTCTCTCTCTCTCTCTCTCACTCTTTCTCTCACTCTCTCGCTAACTCGATGTTACTCGAAAATAGAGAAATAACCGATCGTCTAGAACGGACACGATCTTTTATTGTTGCATTACTCTTGAATTTACAGTCATTGCCGTCGATATCAGGTCGATATCAGATCGATATCGGATGGTTCTTGAGAGCCTTCGACAGCACCTTTACTTACCTTAGCACGTTTAGGATAGGATGATTTTAACGCGTCTTACAGTACATGTTTCTACTCTCGTTCGTTTGTTGTCTGAATAATTCGCGCGCGCGCGCACGACCCTCCTCGAGGTCACATCGAAAGATTAACGGCGAAAGATCATATGGCGTCACGGTGGTCAAAGATGCCCGGTAGTCCCGGTGATGTAAGAAGATACCTGGAAAGCGATGCACCGATTAATCGTCCTGCTCCTTGACGAGACCTCGCTATTAACCTCTCGAACGAGGATCTTCTCCGAGAGAGAGAGAGAGAGAGAGAGAGAGAGAGAGAGTGAGAGAGAGGGAGAGAGAGAGAGAGAGAGAGAGAGAGAGAGAGTGAGAGAGAGAGAGAGAGAGAGAGAGAGAGAGAGAGAGAGAGAGTGAGAGAGAGAGAGTGAGAGAGAGGGGGAGAGAGAGAGAGAGAGAGATCTCAACTTTTTAAAGTAAACTGCCCATGTTCGCTACTTTGATGAATTCGGAATTCAAACTTTTCGCTTACAGTGACACTCACACTATACATTTCCATTTGATCTCGGTATTTTTTGCAAACTGTCTCACCAATCAAGTTTGAATCTCTATGAATTTCGAGACTCGGTTAAGCGAATATGGAAATCGAAGTAACGGTCCGTCGAAATCACAGAAGGTCGACTGTGTCGCTCACACGACGAGCAAGCTTGGACTCAAGCGCGGAGCTCATTAACTCGTAAAATTGAACGGCCGTTGTCAGTCAAAGCGACGACGCGAGCGCGCGCGCGCGCGCGCGCGGTTAATAAAGCGGTCGTTAATCGGCGACGATGATGACAACATATGCCGTAGACTCCACTTAACCAAGTTCGAGCCCTCGGCGAACCCGAAACGATCGCATTCGCTGCGCTTAACGCACGCAGAAATACGCGTTGGAATTCTCTCGCAATTTCAGATTCTTTCAGACCGCCGGGAGATCGATCGGCGCGAATTAACCGCACGTTGCCGAGAATCGTCCTTTCTCCTTCGTCGTCGTCGTTTCGAGTCGTTTCATGTCAGCCCGTTCATTTTTTTCGCCACAGATTATCACGCTGCCCGTTATACATTCCGCGAATTCTGCCGGTCGTTGTAACCATTAACCCAGCTTGTGCTTGGGCCCTATTGGATTACACCGGGTGACTCGGAATTTCGTCGAGATTGCGGCTTTTTCACGCCATTCCTTTCCTTTCCTTTCCTTTCCTTTTCTCTTTTCTTTCTTCTTTTTTTTTTTTCAACCTCCGCAAAGTCGGCGAACTGTTCGATTCTACGAGCCTACTCGGAGAGCTCGAAGCGCGCGCGCACACACATACACATCACTCGTCCAATGTCCAATGTTCGCGGTCGTACGTACGTATGTACTTTAGAGTGAAAAATTATTTGTTCCCTGCATTTGCGACCCTCTGAACGAAGCGAGGCGCGGATCGTCGTATTCCTCGGCGAGAAATTCGCGTTGGCACGGGCTAAATTGGGCCACGTTCTCAGCAATGCCTTTAATTAAAGCCCACGAGCGAAGCGTTAGTAATCTGTACTAATCACGAAATTGATCCGCCACACTTCGTTCTCGCCTCGAGCCTTTTTTCTTTCCTCGCCTCGAACAAAAGGGCCGACGACCTCTCTCTCTCTCTCTCTCTCTCTCTCTCTCTCTCTCTCTCTCTCTCTCTCTCTCTCTCTCTCTCATCTTCCGAAAAGTTCACGAATGGATTTTACGCGCGACACCGCAACGTTAATTAAATTCTCTACGGTGCGTTCGCGAAGCAAACACACGCCAACACCTAACCTTCTATGGGATTTGATTTAATTGCCATTCAGTTTGACGATCTCCGCGAGAATCCAACCAAATTTTCCTCGTCTTTTCCCCGTGCGACTCGACCAACGAAATTACATGTATTCGACATGTACTTCTGTGTGTTCCGGATTGCAGTTTTGACTTGCAATTTCTCGAAAAAATTGCACATTGTCAAGAATAGGAATTTTCTCGATTATAACATACATATCCTAGAGTTATATGGTTTCTCTCAGCAAGCAAGTCTTGGAATCGGTATCTCCGATCGACGAGTCAAATTGACGAGTGGAATCAATTGGACTGACCGAGTCGAATTCGTTTCGTCCGCGCGAAGCCCGCGCGGAGTAGGATCGCGCGCTAATTGCTAAATCTTAACGAGTCTCGGTCCACCTGCCGCCAACGTTTCCGGCACTTTTCTCAGCCGCGCTCAGTGCATTCGGTGCTGTTTCAGACCGATGCTAGCGCGTCTCTCGAGGATGTCGAGGGAAAATCAGGTTAGAGGAATCGCGAGGAATCCCTTTTCTCGCTCTTCTACGCACTCAGCCGTCACCATCGAGGAAGCTTCGAAGAAATTTGCCCCGAATTCCGCAAGCCCTGAACCGTTCGTCTTTCAATCGTGCGACTTTAATTACGCGCGGACGAATTCGTATCTATTCTACCAATTACATTCGATCCGTTTTATGCTGCGAAACGTTATACAATATTTTTTTGCCGCGAAACTCTACCGCTCGGAATTATTACGATCAACTGTTGTGTTGCGCTCACGGTTTCTTCTCCACTCGAGCGATTCAATTGATCGTAGCAAAATACGCCGAGGCGACTTATATATTCCAGGCCATATATTTAACCATCATTATATGCGCACGCGTGTATAAAAATGAAGACGAATATGTCGAACAAACGTGAATCCACATTGTTGCAAAGAACCATACGCACTTCGCTTTCATCACGGGAGAGAAGTGTTGCCTCTCTCCAAGCTGTGTGATTAGACGCACAGTTTTTGCGTCGATTTGCGTAAACACTGTGAATCTGTTTGTTTTTTTTTTTTTCTTTAAATATAATAAAAGGCTGCATGTACATCCCACGCAATTCAACTAGAGACTCCTGGCGATCCTTTGATGCTTAATCTCGATGCAATTTCGAGACGCGACTATGCTCAGCGACGAAACAGCAGATAAGCAAAGATGACTATTTGGGCGATTGGGCGGAAAAAAGTCCGGAAGGTATCTATCCGTTTGTATCGTCGGTTACTGCATCGCGGCGTTTCCGGAAGATGCAAGAGAGCACGCGTAGTGCGTGCTTTTTTTCACAACTTTCGTTCCCCGGACTGTCAACATTCAGTCATCAAGGATCATAACTTCTTTTTTCGCTAGCTTTTTACATCGCAGCTACGTCACACACACACACACACACGCACACACGTACATTGAACGGACAGAAAAATTTTATAAATATAAATTCTTGCTAGAAACTGTGTTATCTCATTGAACAATACGCGTGTGATAGAGTAATGAAATTTATAACAATGATAGGATGTCTAGCCACAAAGTTTTTACGGCAAATTATTAATCTTTTGCTCCAATCATTTTGCTCCAATGTTTTTTCTATACTGTTGCATAATTACTTTGACGTTCTAATAGAGAAATACGCGTAAGGTGTCATTATTGTTATTCGAACGCGAGATATTAAAGAGAGGGCGATCAGGAGAGGAGATATATATGAAGAAGGAGGAAAATGAGAGTTCTTCTTCCCATAGCGGCACACTCCTCTTCTCCTCTTCGTTTTCCTTCTCAAGAACCGCAGAAGCAAAGACGCTACCATAAGAGGACATCTTTCGCCATCTCTCTGGATCCGTCGACCCCTTTCTCTTCCCCTCTCCTCCTTAATCGCTCTCTCTCTCTCTCTCTCTCTCTCTCTCTCTCTCTCTTCCTTTTTCTTATACTCTTCTCCTTCCAATCCTGTCCTTGTGGGACCGCAAACCCACGAGTATCTCTCAGAAACATTTCGCAGGAAACCGCCTTCGCCGGGGTACTTGTCGCTCGTGAATATCCAATTTCCATTGCACGATTATTCCTCTCTTAATATTCTTATCTAAATTCTTTTCTAAATTGCAGTTTCATCTCTAATCGAGATAGAAGAGAAAAAAATCTAATTCGGGGCTAGACGCACCGTTTTAGGGCAAACAGTTGATAGACAGATTTCTTCTCGATTAAAGTGATTATACGCTCATTATGCAATTGAACGAACATGTACTCGAACTCTCATTATCACTTGCGATCCTACGTTATCCTGGATCATTGCATATAAATGTGAAAAGTCAAGGCTGTGACACTGAAATCGACTTCCTGGAATAAAAATGGCAAAATAAAATTACAATACGACAAGCTGAAACTTGTTGGGCTAAAAGGACAGGTCACAAAGCGCGATCCGAGCACGTCCGCGGTGCTTCATCAGTGACACTTCTTTCGACAGTCATCCTGCGAGATCTGCACGAGATAGTGGAATGCATTAAAAAGTGCCGTCTCCATTTACGGCTGTCATCTGGCATGAATAAGTTGAAGGTACGGTTGAGGTCGACCAGAACCTCAGAAAGAACCGCGTCGCCTTTTAGGGTCTTTGGCTTCTATCGAAAATATATATCCCTTTTCGGAATATCCCTTACAGAATCCTCCTCATTGGTTGATCATATACGTAATAAGAATTTGATTCTTGAATAATGTTACGTTCGATCGCTTGAAAGAATCACCCGTTCATCAGTGTTTAATATGCAAGTTTTTCGTTTAATAAGTAATGTCTTTTCTTTTTTCTTTCTTCTTTCTACATATCGATAATCTCTTTTCACCTTTTTATTTTAGAGAGCACCTCAAGTTTCTTCGATGTAGCATGTGAAACCTTAAAACTTTCCTAGTTGGAGGGTTCATCCCTATTTGTCCCGTGTTTTCCCGTTTCTCCGTCTCAATCCTCCTTGCTTCATTTTTGCTGAAACTCGATTCGATTGGAGGATACGCGCGAGCTATTTCCGATTTACTATCTCTTACTATATTTCGCGGCAGTTTATGGTGGTGCGGATCGTTTCCCATGTAAAAGCCAGCCGGAAACAATAGCAACGAGAGAGGCGAGGTCGGCACGCGTACAAGATAGTCACGGTCACGACGGTCACGTTTCGCTCACGCTATGTGCACCGCGCGCATCGTGCACCGCATTCGCATTCGTGTGTGTGTGTGGGAAACCACACAAGGGCTCGGTTGCTGAATAGCTTTTGTATCGTTTACGCCACTAGTGTGCCGAATTTGGATTTAATCGACTTAAAGACTTTAGACTTGGTGCGAGAGAAAAGAGCGTGGACGTAAAGCGCGTCTAACGGCGGAAAATGATCAATGACGGAGCCGCTTCCCCTTGCGTGTGTTGCGCAGGTCGAGAACGTGAGTCTGTGCGTGGGAGCGCTGCGGGCCCTGGGCGCGGACGTGGGTGCCGTGAACCCGGCCGAATTGGCGGCAGGATCAACCCTGTGGCCGGTTCTCGCCCTGCTGTTCGCCCTGTCGCGTTATAAGCAACGAGCCAAGCAGCTGCAGGACATGCCCAGGTAGGTGAATTGCGTCCTTTCGAATTCTTTTCGTAGAGAGAAGTAGAGAGTCGCTTGAGTAACGATGGCGAATATATGATGTCGAAATCGCGACAACAAGACTCTCTCATAGCTCTCGAAATACTTCAAGATTGGATGCTTAGATTTCGGTAAGTGTTCCTTCGTGCAGCGCGAAGCGTTAGATCAACTTCAATTTTTGCAAATGATTCTTGAGCTCTTTCAAAAAGCTCGTCAAACGTTCAGATATGTGTCAATTCCGAGAGAGGGGATCCTCTCTCTATCCACCTTGTGCATTGTTTATTCCTCGGTCGTTTTAAAGTCGTTCGAGATGAATCTCTCGAAATTGCACAAAATTACACAAGTCTTCCGTACGGTGCAACGTGTCGGTTAAATGGACATTTATATTTTGAGAGCAAACCAACAAGCGATGTTTAAAGTGTTTATCGTGTACGAGCTATCATTATCACAGTCTGGACATACTTGTCTGGAATATGTTAATTATAAATACAATCGACCACCATTTCAACCGATAAGAAAATGGAAGTGAATAAAAAAATTATACTTTTTTTTTAATCTCGACTTTTATCTCTTATATTTATCAACCGCTCGAACGTTGGTTATTCAGCACACTTGTCAGCGATTAGCGAGAGAGAGAGAGAGAGAGAGAGAGAGAGAGAGAGAGAGAGAGAGAGAGAGAGAGAGAGAGAGAGAGAGAGAGAGAGAGTGAGAGAGAGAGAGAGAGAGAGAGAGATAAAGTTATCCAGTTTGTTATTGGATACCAATAATAATGATTAAAGGAGCAAAGAGATCGTTTACCGCCGCACTTGACTCATGTTATTTGAGGATAAGTCTGTTCGTCTTAGCCGAGATTCAAACCTCACTAGCCAATACTCAAACCTTGCTTAAGCCGGACTCGAACCATACTTAGCAAAGACTCAAACCAATTTGGCACAACGAGCCTTTTCACGGCGTTGTTAGATGCCAGGAAGGTTGCTAGCCGCGAATATTCCAATATATCGACTGTAATTTCAAAGTCTCCGCTACGAGTCGCCATTGTTTGTCCACCGACTAAATGAGGTTGTGGTACAAATCGACGAGCCGCAAATAGACTTTTATTTTTCAAATAGTGCGACACTTTTATTTTCAACGACAGGTCAGTAAACATCATTAAATGCAAATAATAATAATAATAATAATAATAATAATGTATTGGATATTTGATTTGGTTACGTAAAGACATGAGTCTCATATGAGATGTATAGTATATGACAAGAGCTCGCTCATCATAGGCATTGTTAGGCGTTGTGTACTTTACGCCTTCGGAAAGAAAAATCTTTGAATAGATATAGAATTAATTTATCGCGTGACAACTTAAAGTGGAGTAAAGTTTTGTCGTTTTTACATACAAATTTGTGTGTGTGTGTGTGTGTGTGTGTGTGTGTGTGTGTGTGTGTCAAAGAAACAGCGGCTTTACTTTTGCCATACAGAACACCTCATGTAACAATTGAAAGAGATAAAAGATAAACAAGATGTAAATAAGGTATCCAATTTTCAAGTGGATATTCAGTTTTGCATTCTTATTAATCGCGGTGCACCATATGACGCGTCATCACCATATGACGAAGGTGTGCTTTATGTACAGCGTGCACGTTAGAAAGAGCGCGTACGAAAGAGAGACTCGTCAAGGTCGATATTTTTAAACTGCGAGTCTTTCGTGGGTGGCGAAACGTCCGCTTCATTGTCCGCTTTTATTTGAAACTGGGACTTACGAGATGTAACTTTTAACGCGTTTAAAGATATCGCGAATTAATCGAATTATTTCGTTGCTATATTTAGTCGTTATTCCAACTAGTGAATAAACTTAGAAAACTTGGACACACTCTTTACGTTGCGACTTTGCGATCCTGCATTTTAATCCCAGACTCTGAAAATAAAATTATGGGGATGTTGTTTCTCCGTTTGGACCGCAAAATTGTCGAGTGCACGTGTTGGGCCGCCAATCAAGATGACGAAAAGGGGATTCGAGCCTGAGCCTAATGGGGCGCGTAACGATTGCTTCAAGCGGGAGAGCAACGCGAAGCGTGCAGAGCGCCGCTTCGGGGTTCTTAGACCGTAGGGCCGTACATTAACATATTAACAATGCTCGATTATGCCTCGAATGCGTATACCTAATTCGGTGTGGGTGCCTCACGAATCGTTCTCTCCAGATCGTGAAATTTGAATTGGATTTGCTAAGAATTTTTCTCTTGCGCATCTCTTCTTTTGCTGCAGGAAAATTAGAAAAGAGTCGAGTAAAGTTATTAGAAAACATGATAAATATCGCATACAGGTTATACAGCAAAGGCAGGTTATAGGTCTATATCCTACTGCCGAGTCGAGTTTTCGCGTCTTGATGTTGCTTTCATCTTACAATTTTCCGCTTGACACGCACACAAGCGCACCTCGTCGGAAGACAAAGGTGTGCACAGTGACACACACACTGCGTTGTACACGTGTGCCTGTGTGTTGTTAGGCCGTGTGCGCGAATGCATCGCGCACGGAGCATTAGCATAAAAATGGTTTAAAACCGTCGGCATTGGTCGACTCCTGCGGAAGACTGAGTCTGCCATCGGTTGGCTGCGTAACGCGACGAGAAGGCAGGGGACCGGAGAGGCTGAGAGCTAAAATGAGCGGGAGAGAGAACGAGACGGCGAGATGAAACCAGATTGCCGTAGGAAAGAGAAAGAGACGCGAACGACAGACAAAGACACAACAAGACCATGCGAGGGTGTATTTGAAGGAGAAGGAAAGAGACGGAGCGTGGAGAGGTAGATGAGAGGAGAAAGGGAGAGAGAAAGAAAAGGACGAATAATCCAACTGAGAAAGACAGCATCAGTGTACTACCATGAGGAAAGGAACAATAAGAGAGGGAGGGAGGGGGGCCAGAGAGAGAGAGAGAGAGAGAGAGAGAGAGAGAGAGAGAGAGAGAGAGAGAGAGTGAAAGAGGGAAGGGAAAGAGCATGCATCTGCATGGGGAAATCGGGGTGAGCCCAAAGGGGGCTGGGAGGTGAGCGCGGGAGAACGACGGGGACGCCAATGGTGGAAGAAGGGGATTGCGAGGGGTCACGAGAGACCAAGGCAGAAGAAGGGGCGACGGGAGAGAGAAAGAGGGGGAGAGAGAGAGAGAGAGAGAGAGAGAGAGAGAACAGCCACGTGCTATGGGAACGGGAATAGCTCTCTCTCCTCTCGGCGGATTTCTCAGTTCGAAACGGGCCATCAGCGATGCCTACACACCATGGCCACACCATCATGACCGCGGCGGAGCGTAGTCGCTCGTCGCCATGAGGCGTCGTCGTCGTACCGTCGACGACGCTCAACAATCAAACGCTTTCTCTCTCTCTCTCTCTCTCTCTCTCTCTCTCTCTCTCTCTCGAATTTTTTCTCATCGCGCTTCGTTTTCGAGGATAGCTTCAGCGTGCGGGAAAATCGATGGTGGATCGGTATTATCGCGCGCGGCGGCAGTCGACTGTCGTTCTCCTTTGGACTCTGCAAAAGTGGTCGATAGTGATCGGGCTCGTGCAAGTGTTATATAGGAAGAGAAAAGGTGCAATTTTTCGTCAATGTGAATTTCACGGATTGCGCATTTAAATCCAAGAAGAACGCGAAATCGAATTGAATCGACGCTTCTTCGTCGATCGCTTCGTTTCCGCTTGATCCTCATCGGATAATTAATCACAGGCAAGATAAAAGAAGTAATTTGTGGGGGTAGGTGATGTAACATTTTTTTACCATCTAAAATGAATTAAAAATGAAAAATTATTTAATGTTAAAGAATTAAATTTCTACGCACGCATTTAATCTTTTGACACTTAATCCTACTACACGATAAAACAAACGATCCATTGATTGGTCGCGATACGATTAGTGTACAAGTACAAAAGTGTGAGTATCAATCGAGGAACATTCAGCGAAAAGCTAATAGTTAGCTCGATACAACAAGTCGTAATGTGGTGGAATGTTGCTTCAATTAAAAGCCGCGATTAAAAAGCCGAAGATATTACAATAATCTCGTTTTCCGAGCCGACTCGACCCGGATAAAGATGTCGATCGTCGATACAACGATGTGTTCGTTTCGCGAGTACCGACGCTAAGTCGGGAACGATCGAGCGGACCTGATCGATTCGCGACGAGAGCGTCCTGACTGGAACGCTGCGTTGCAATTTACCGCGGACTCTGCGGGAGAAGATCCTCGTTATCTTTCACGCGTGTGCAACGCGTGTTTTGACGTACTCGTTGTCGCGATCACTGCTCGGCTATATACATCACGGCGGAACAGATACTTTTTTCCGCTAGAACGCAAAGTCAATCAAGATGGTCACGGGAATGGCTGTATTTCTCGCTCGACGAGAATTGCCATGCCGCCGAGGACGATACGACAATGGCGAGAATTCATAGAATCGAAGATAAGAAGAGACAAGATGAAATATGCATGAGTTTTGGAGGTGAATTATTCAGCATCTAGCGAGAAAAAAGCACGTTGAGAGTGTTTTCGATTTCTCAGTTTGAGACGATCTTCCTTTGAAAGCATCGAAGTAGCGCATGGAATTTCAAGTTTCTAAAGAGACTCGCTTGTCTCGCGTTCAATGCATCGGATGCATCACAATCTCTACGGACTACAGACTAGAGAATAGAGCACATCTCTGGTCCAAATGGTGAATGCGATCATCGACAGAATCAAAACGAAACGAAAAATTATTATTATTATTATTATTATTATTATTATTATATAATAATAACGATCGCGAGACGAAGGAAACGAGCCGTGTCGATCGTGTAAAGTCGCGATTTTTCAAAAAGATATAATGACGAAAATAACTAGTAAAAATTTGTCAAACTCTTCCTCTCTCTAGCCGACGGAATAAAGATTATTAATACATTAATTATTCTGTTACTATTGACACATTGAAACGGACTTTTGTCATTTTTTGAATTGAAAAGGAAATAAACAAAGACAATAATAA